ACTTAACGGACTGCTGTTATTCAGATCACCCCACGATCATACCTTTAAATTGTACTGGGGACATGCTGCTTAGCCAGCCAGGAGATCCTGTGTTCAGTAAGCACACTCTTGCTTCAAACTAACTACAGATCACGTTCTCATGTCACAACCCATGTCACAAAGAAACATGGCCAATCTTGAAAGGACTAGGAGGGTGAAAAGAGCCAGAGTCACCTTGGTATTCCTGAGCAATTATTTAAATTGAGGTTTGATGAATAAACGTGCCTCAAGTAAAAATCCCCAAGTCTTCAGGAAAAGAAGATGAAATGGCAGTGGTTACCAGCATTTGTGTATCAATGCAGTCCTAAGTAGGTGCTGGGTGCCTTGAGGTGGCCCAGACAAATCAGCCAGCAGACTTGTATCCAGATATTCATTGGAAGTGCTAGATTAAGATCACTGAACCCATGCCCAAATACAGCAAGTATGCTATGGAAAAGTGTGTGTGTAAAGCGCTGTTTCATACGGTTTGAATCATGAACACTTCGAAGATGAATGAAACCACTCCATAGAGAAACAAAAGCTCATGCACGTGAATTTCCAAATTCAGCTGTTAAAGAACTGATGAGTATCTCTAGAGTCTGGACATGGACACTTGCTCAGGGATCCTAGGTTAAGAAAATCTAACGTAGCCAAAGCTTAAAAAAGAAACTAAACCATTCCCATTGACCTGAATTGAGATGGCTGAGCCTCACCAGAAATGGACTGGTGTCTGGCTTTTCTGGGGTAAAAGAAAGACCCTTTGTGTAGCACAAAATAATATGGTCCTCATTCTCGTCTGTTACACTATATTTAGAAGTCAAATAGCTTTGGTCTTGGCACAAACATTCTAGGAGGAAGCAGAAACTTGCCAATCGCAGAGTGAAAATGCTCAGGTCAGCAGGCTCAAGGTTTCTTACCATAACCAGCCCCTGGGTGAGAAACTCTTTTTCTTGTGACAGATTTTGAAGAATAGTTTTGTATAGATTGTGTGTGTGAGAGAGTTGGGGTGAGGCCAGTTACAGATGAGAAAGTGAAGGCCAAGGGATGTGTTTCAAGACCCCAGAATGTAAACAAGGAATCAGAATCTGGACGTGGGGCTAGTGATCACTGCACTGTCCCTACTCCCAAAGGACCAGACTGGCTTCCCATTTTAACATGATGTTCCGCACTAGCTACATACAGGTTCACTTTTCTATTTTGCTTTTATCTTTTCTGCTTTGTGTTCATGGTTTTTTTTTTTTTAAAGAGTTTCTAAACTTCTCATTTTCTACTTTATTCTACAAATTGTTGAGATATAACTAGATAGGGAAACATTCGTGCTAGCCAAGGCAGATTTTCACTCTGGCCCACTTTTTAGAAAAAGTAAATTTGTTCTTTGGGACTTATTTTTGATTTACAGAACAGTTGCAAATTCCCCATGGACTCTTCACGCAGCTTCCCCTAAGGGCAACACATTACATAGCCAATGTACATTCATCAAAACTAACGCATTAGCATTGGTGCATTTTTAAAAATTTTACCAGTGTTTCATCCAATACCCTTTTTCTGTTGCAGGACCTCACATAGCTTTCGTGCACCCCCTTAGATTTGGGGTGCTAACACAGGCAGTGTAGATAGATTCTGCACAGCAAGCCACAGTCTCAGGGTTTTAATAAATCACATCCTCACACTGCCCAACCAAATTATAGTAAAAATAAATAAACTGGCCTCTTACAGTTCCTCCCTTTGATTGTGGTCTCTCAAATATCTGTCCCCCTTTAATTAAGGGTGTTGAAGCAATAAGGAGAAGAAAGAAAAAAGAGAGTGGGGGAGACCTGCAGCACCCATAAATTGAATAAATAGTGAACTACATCACTCATTCATCAGTGAATTTATGACTGAGTGCTGGTTAGGTCAAAGCACTGAAGGAGTTAAGAGACAACATTCCTTACTTGTAAGAAGGCCGGTAGGAAGAGAACAAGTGTATCAGTATGACCAGTAGTAATAACTATAAGGCAGGAGAAAACCATCCTGCAGAGTACTGAAGAGAGGCATTGGAGTGACTTCCACAGAAGACATGACATTTGTAAAAGTGGCCTTCAGGGGTGAGGCCCACGACAGGCAGAGCAGCTGTCAAATCTTTCTGCACTATGAAGAAGTAGGCTCATAGGAAGATTATAGTAGTTTACTCCATGATGCCAACTGACTTTCCACATTGTCATCACCTAAGCAAAAATACCAGAAAGCCTAGCCAGCTTGAGTGGTCTATAGAGATATACAGGGCTCTCCTGTGCAGAGCACTGTAGTGAGGAAGAATGGAAGTGTCCTCACTCATCCATTTAGATTTGAAAAAGAAACCAAGGTAGCAGGCACATTTTATAGGGAATGCCAGTGAGGTACTGAGAACTCAGTTCTTCTGCAAGCTCTTAAAGGAAGTAGTCATCTGACTCACTGCACAAGAACCCTGTGCAACATACCATTATATCAATAAAAAAGACACTTG